ACCCTGTTTTCTCTCTCTTTTTTCTCTAAAACATTGTTCAAAAACTTAAAAAAAAAAAAAAGCCAGGCACAGTAGCTCAAGCCTGTAATCCCAGCACTTTCGGAGGTGGAGGCTAGAGGACTGCCTGAGCCCAGGGTTCGAGACCAGCCTGGGCAACTTGGGGAGACATTGTCTCTACAATAAATAAAAAATTATCTGGGCATGGTGGCGCATGCCTGTAGTTCCAACTACTTGGAAGGCTGAGGTGGAAGGATCACTGAGCCCAGCAGGTTGAGGCTGTAGTAGCCGTACAGTGAGACTCCAACTCAAAAAACAAAACAAAACTTAAAAAAAAAAAAAGGAACATACACCTATGGTAATAAACCCGACATTCTATTTCTAGTTATTTATCCAAGAGAAATGAAAACCTATGTCCACACAAAGATATGTACATGAATATTTATAGAGCTTTGTTCATAATAGGAAAAAATGAAAACCACTCAAATGTCCACCAACTAGTGACTGGATGAACCAAATGTGATATGCCACTTGGCAATAAAAAAGGACTACTGACAAATGCAATCATGTGGATAAATCTCAACACGGATTGTTTGTGCTAAGTGAAAGAAGCAAGCCAAAGTCAAAAGAAACCAGCCTTAAAATTCTAAAAGCAAACTAATCTACAGTGGTAGAAAGTTGAGCTGATCAGTTGTCCACAATCAGGATGTACAAAAAAGAGAAGAACTAACAGGGGTTTGAGGAAACCTGAGAAGTGATGGAAATATCTTGTACATTGATGGTAGTGGTTTCATGGGTGTACACATCCATCAAGACTTATTGAATCACACACTTTAAATGGGTACAGTTTATTGTACATAAGCTATACCTCAATAAATGGGGTTAAAGACAAAACAGAAAAATCAATATTGTTTCAAGCTTGCTTCTTTTCTCATCCTCTTTCTTCTCATCTCACTTCTCATCAACCTCACTCATGTCACCTACTTTACATGTTAGTAACTATCAAATCTACTGCAGATTCTCTCCTGGAAATAAATCCCTATTAATTACTGCCGGGCTGCTGGACATTTCCAACTTGTATATCCCACAGGCTCCTTAAACTCAAAAAGCATCCAGAAATGAACTTACTAACACCACCCAACAGGAAATAAATCTTCCCTTTCTCTTAATGCAGAATGATTAAGAAGTCACCCAAGCTGGAAGCCAGGCTGTATTCATCTGACACGTCCTCAGGTACCTGTCTAAACTCTCTGTGAACGCCTCATTCCTACCTGGATCCTTTCTGTAACTCTCCCAGAATGTTTTTCTAGCCTTAGCTGACCATCTCACCCTCTGCTTAAGTCAGAGGCTCATCTTGCCTTCCAGCTAGAGGTCAGAGTCTTCACTAGGTACACAGGGCTCAGGACGGCTGTTTACCACACACTAACCCACCCCCACAATCTGTGGAAACAGCCACTGGTACCCAGAGGTGGGACCTGCATGACCATGTCTTCTATGTGATGATGAACTCAGTGTCACCAGAGTAAGCTGTGCCTATGACATTCTTTCTTCTGTTAACTTGAAACAGAAAGGCAGGAGGGAGTTTTGGCCTTACTCTGTATAGACAGCTTTATATTATGTATTAAAGATAATATCCTAAAAATAAGGCCAGGTGTGGTGGCTCATGCTTGTAATCCCAGCACTTTGGGAGGCCAAGGTGGGAGGACTGCTTGAACCAAGTTTGAGACCAATCTAGGCAACATGATGAGACCTCATCTCTACAAAACAAAACAAAACAAAAAAATAGCTGGGTGTATTAAGGGTGCATACCTGCGGTCCCAACTACTTGGAAGACTGAGGTGGGAGGATCACTTGAATCCAGGAGGTCGAGGCTGCAGTGAGTCATGATCTTGCTACTGCATTCTAGCATGGGCAATAGAGTGAGACCCTGACTCAATATATATATATATATATACACAAACACACACACACACCAGGGATGCCAAAAAAAGTACAAACATTTTTATTTTTTTGAGTTGGAGTCTCACTCTTTGTTGCCCAGGTTGGAGTGCAGTAGCATGCTCATGTCCACAATGGCCTCGACCTGCTGGGCTCAGGTGATCATTCTGCCTCAGCCTTCCAAGTAGCTGTAACTTCAGACACATGCCACCATGCCCGGCTAAATTTTTTTGTGATTTATCGTAGAGGTGAAGTCTCACCAAGTTGTCCAGGCTGGTCTCAAACCCCGGGGCTCAGGCAATCCTCTCGAATCAGTCTCCCCAACTGCTGGGATTACAGGTTGAGCCACCGTGCCTGGTGAAAAGTATACACATTTTTTTTTTTTTTTTTTAGTTGGAGTCTCACTCTGTCACCCAGACTGGAGTGCAGTGGCCGCTCCCGGCCACCGCAACCTCGACCTGCTGGGCTCCGGCGATCCTTCCGCCTCAGCCTTCCAAGTAGCTGGAATTACAGGCATGCGCTACCACGCCCAGCTAATTTTCTTTTATTTATTGTAAAGATGAGGTCTCCCTGCCCAGGTGGGTCTCGAACCTGCCGACTCAGGCAATCCACTCACCTCAGCCTCCCAAAGGCGTGGGATTACAGGCTGAGCCACCGAGCCCAGCTAGTATACACATTTTAAGAAATGTTATCTATGTATTACTTTTCAAAGTTGAATTGAGTTACAGTAGCAATTTGTAATTGCAGAAGTCAAATGTGACTTGTATTTATCTTTTGTTATCAATATATATTATTACAATTTTAAGTTTTTTCTTTCTTAAAAATATGTATACTTTTGGCACCCTCTGTATATGCCCCCAAATTAAAAATATTCTTGAAAAAGGCACATAAAATAAAAGTTCTGGAATTTAAATGTAACTGTTCAACAACTTAAGTTAGGAAACTCTCCCAGAATGTAGGGCAGAGGAAAAAATAACATACTGACTTGTATTTGAATATAAATTCAAAAGACAGATCTTCAGAATCAATCCAGCTGGTCTAATATCCAGCTATTAGGAGTTCCCAGCTTCATTTTTCTACCTACCACCCATTACCTTCTAATACATCATTCACTTTTTTTTTTGGTTGGCGTCTCACTCTGGTGCCCAGGCTGGAGTGCGGTGGGATGCTCACGGTCACCAGAGCCTTGACCTGCTGGGCTCAGGTGATTCTTCCACCTCAGTCTTCCAAGTGCCTGGAATTACAGGCACGCACCACCATGTCCGGCTAATTTTTTGATTTATTGTAGAGACGAGGTCTCGCCAAGTTGCCCATAGTGGTCTTGAACCCATGGGCTCAGCAATCCTCTTACCTTGGCCTCCCAAAGTGCTGAGATTATAGGCGTGAGCTACCATGCCCAGCCTCATTTTTTTAAAAATTATTGGTCTTCCCTAACTAAAACATAAGGCCCATGGGGGCAGAAATTTATTTTATTGGCAATATTCCCAGTGTCTAGAAGTCTACTCCATCCACAGCAAGTACTGAATAGGTATTTGTTGAAAGAATGAAACAAAGGCTAAAAAGTTCTGACATAACATTATTTGGGACCTAGAATTATAGACCTAGCAAAGGTGTCAAGTATGAAGACAGAACAGACCTGCAAATATGCCTAGATACACTGAGTTATCTCCAAGTACACTTTTTAGGAAGTTATTTGAGATTACAAAATGCTCTGTGGGATAAAGGGGAACGTGAAACTAAGCCAGGGTCCAAACAAAAGCAATTCCTGGGTGACAGTCACATAGTAGGTTTACAAAGCAACCGACCCATGTTGAAAGGAGACAACCGGCCAGGCACAGTGGCTCATGCCTATAATCCCAGCACTTTTGGAGGCCAAGGTGAGCGGATTGCCTGAGACTGCTGGTTCGAGACCAGCCTGGACAACTTGGCAAGACCGCATCTCTACAATAAATCAAAAAATTAGCTGGGCATGGTGGCACATATCTGTAGTTTCAGCTACTTGGAAAGCTGAGGTGGAAGGATTGCCTGAGCCCTACAGGTCAAGGCTACGGTGGCCGTGAGCGTGCCACTGCACTCCAGTCTGGGAGACAGAGAGAGACTCGGACTCAAAAAAAAAAAAAAAAAAAAGGAAAAAAGAGACACCCATGGCCTCTAAAGAAGAAAAGAATGGCCTTCATTCAATAGGAGAGGTTGCGCAACTTCTTAGGAAATAGAAAATAAAATACCTCTTCTCAAAAAGCAAACAAAAATTAGAAACTGTGGGGAAAACAACAGCAAATCCAACAAGTCATAATCCAAATAGGAAGCAAGAACACAGGGCACGATGGAATGTAAGAAAAGCAACCCTGATTGTCATTTGCAACGTTTTCCTTCAAGTGGTGTAGGAGCTGACTGAGCTTCAAAGCCCTAGGGAATGTAACACTACCTGGCTGTAACATAAACAGTATTTGCATCCTCTTCACTGTGAAATGCTGTCCACTAGCTCTCAGCTTTCAGTAAACTTCAAGACAAAAAATACACTTCTGGCTATGGGCCAGAATATCCATTTCACTAATCTTGATAATATAAAAATAAAGATAGCACTGAGAGAAGGTCTTAATATCCTCATTCTGTGAACATGGAAACTGGGAGACATTGGCTAAAATTGAATACATCAACAACTAAAATCTTGTACAGAAAGACTAAAAGCAGCTGCCTTTGAAGGTAGGTCTAGGCTTAAAGAGGGAAGGTAACTTACTCGTCATAAGCTCTTTAGGACAGGGCATCTGTTTTGTCTTGATCGCGTATATACACTACGTTGATTCTTTTACTTGATACTCAAGATAAACATGCTTTTGCTTTGCTGGAGCCACCTCGACCATCAGCCAGTCTTGATATCCACCCGGGCTGGACTCAAACAGTGTGAGTCAGGGAGAGTGTCCTCTAAACCACCCTGCCTCAGTAACGTTTCATTCATTTCATACTTTTTCATGGCCCGCTAACATTTAGACAGTAAATAAGGATTAAGTTCAGGAAATAACTCTTGAGGGAGTCACTTAAAACACAAAAACACTCACATATAGACCTCAGGAAATCAAATTTGTATTAGCACTATTTTAGCCAGTACTTTCTTTATAGAGATTTATTTCTTTTACAATCATTAAGATTTTCACCTAAATAAGTTGTCAAAATACATTACCTGATTTTATTTAGACTCTAAATGTTAGGGCACAAAAAGCACATAAACATCTACGAGTATCAAAAACATTTATAACCTTACTATTTTATAGTGCGAGAAAAGGGGTAAGAAAGAATACAAATAAATTAGATCTAAAGAGTTACATACAAAATTTTCTTTGATCATTTATTAAAATATGCCAGAAAAGTAAAAGGAATGGTATTAAGCCTTTAAAAACAGTTGTGGACATCATCTGACAGTGTCTTCTCCAGCGTCCTGGTCACGTCCTCAACTCAGGAGGCACTGGAGACAGCCAGTTTCTTCAAATGGTCCATGAACACCTGCAGGCTAACGTCATCGGTTAGAATGGGCGCTCCAGTTTCCTGAAATTGGATGATAAAGGTTTGTTGACAAATGTCTTATTGTTAGAATTTGTGAGCTGTTAGGGATCTTGTGACTCCGAGTACTCACAGGTGCTGCTCCTCTGCTGTGAACTGGGCCCACCACCCCATCATCTGCCTAACTAACTACTTCTTTAACTGAAGCACAATTTCCTCACAAAACACTTTCCTGATACACTGAGCTCAGGTCACAGTTGCCTGCTAGCACATACCGTTGCTCTGTACACCCTTCTTCACAGTTCTGATGACTCACCCAGCATTCAGCTCCCACCAGTGTGAGTTCCCTAAGGCTCATACCCACTCCTGTTACCTGGCCGGTACCTAGCCCTAGCTTTTAAATGCTCTGTTTACAACAGAAGCTGGACAGTGGTGCACTCATGGCTGAGTGAATCATATCTCCACTGAATAGATGGATACTTGTGCTTCCGAAAAGCTTATGGTTTTATTAATGTTATAGGAAAAAACGGAATATGAACCTCAATTTGTAGTAAGATCCCACATTTATAAAGAAATTTAAACATGTATATATGTATAGGACACAGACACTATACCTAGAAAAAAGCCAGAAAGTATTAACTCTAGATAGCGGTTACAGGTAATTTTAATTTTATTGCTTTTTAAAAAAATTTTCAAACTTTTACAGATGAAACGGTACTGTTATCATCAAAAAAATGTAAGTAAGATCACAATGTTTTCAGAGGACTTCCAGTTCTAAAGGAGTAGAAGACATACTTTTTCTACTCCTCCCTCTAAGTAAAACTACAAACTGGACATTTTATATAAACCAAACATTGAAAGGTAACAAACTAGGGCCTAGGAACCCAAGGACAGCAGAGCAGTGAGTTCCTTAGATTTTCTTTGTGCCTCATATACCCCAGATTTGGAGCTCAAGAAGCTGGCAAACTGTTATTGAGCACAGACCCAAAAGAAACACAAAAAGTCAAAGGACCGGAGCAGCCTAGCAAGATAAAAAATCTTAGAAAAAAACCACCATACTCCAGCCAAAAGTAACAGAAAAAACCATAGCCTTGCTCCACACATACGAGCAAAGGCCACGTGGGCACCTAAAAATTCCACCCTCACAAGGTCATAATCAGGAAGCCCAACACCCCACTGGGACAGCAGCAGAGAAGGCAGAGTACAGAACCAGGAATTCCGTCTCAATGGCCAATAAGAAATCTCCTAGCCCTGTAGGGTCAGTGAGACCATTTGGGGAGCCTGGACTTCCACCCACACCAGGCAGGACTATATGTCCCTCCCCCTGCCCATGGGATGGTATCAAGAGAGGATTAGTGAAGAGTCAGGACTTTCACCATCACCCAAGTGTAACAAGGCCACCTCCAGCATGGTGTCAGTGGAGGCTGCCTGGGGAACTGAACTACCATTCCCTTGAGCAGTAACAATAAATCACTACTATGCCCTCAAATGTCAAGAGACCAGTGGAAAATGTGGACTATTATCTCCACCTGGCAGTAATGAAACAATGCACCCCCTTAAAGTTTTCCCAGCCAGGCATGGTGGCTCACACCTGCAATCCCAGCACACTGGGAGGCCAAGATGGGAGAAGTGCTTTAGACCAGGAGTTCAAGACCAGCTGCGGCAACACAAGAGATCTTGTCTCTATAAAACATTTTTTAAAAAATTAGCCAGGTGTCATGGTGCACACCTGTAGTCTCAGCTACTAGGGAGGCGGAGATGGAAGTATTGCCATGATTGTGCCACTGCACTCTAGCCTGTGACAGAGTGAGACTGCAACTCAAAAAAAAAAAAAAGCAGGAGGGGAAACATATATAATTCAACAGACCAGGAATAAGACATAAAAATATTTTACTGAAGAAGAGATACAGACGGCAAAGAAGCACATGAAAAGATGTTCTACATCATCAGACATTAGGAAAATGTAAACTGAAGTCACAATGATATACCACTACATACCTACCAGGATTGCCAAAATACAGTAAGTGCCCTACATATGAACCTTCGAGTTGCAAACTTTTGAAGGCAAACATGAATTCATATGTCCAATCACATAAGTTAGTTCATGTGTCTGGCATACGTTGCCACAGGTGTGCATCCCCTAAGTGGCTGTGCTTTTGTGTACTTTACTGCACAATACTGTGTAGAGTATGATAGTATAATATCTTCATTTCAAGTCCAGGATGTTCAAAAGCAAGTGTACAGTATAGCTGATTGTGTTAGTTGGGTACCTAGGCTAACTTCATAGGACTTATGAACAAATTGAACTTATGAACTTGCTCTTGGAATGGAACTCATTCATATACAGTGACTTACTGTAAAAGTAATGACAACATCAAATGTTGGCAAGGAGGCAGAGAAACTGGATCCCTCATAACTTGCCAGTGGGGATGTAAAAGGTTGTAGCCACTCTGAAAAAGTTTGGCAATTTCTTTAAAACATGAACTATGTAACTACCATAAAACCTAGCAAGTGCTCCTGGGCATTAATCTCAAAGAAATGAAGATTTATGTTCATAAAACAATCTGTAAGCCAGGCACGGTGGCTCACACCTGTAATCATAGCACTTTGGGAGGTGGAGGCAAGAGGATTGCCTGAGCCCAGGGGTTTGACACCAGCCTGGGCAACTCAGTGAGACTCGCCTCTATGATAAATCAAGAAAAATTAGCTGGGCATAGGGGTGCATGCCTGTAGATCCAGCTACTTGGAAGGCTGAAGTGGAAGGATCACCTGAGCCTAGCAGATCAAGGCTGTGGTGGCCGTAAGCATGCCACTGCAATCCAGTCTGGGTGACAGAATGAGACTCCAACTCAAAAAAAAAAACAAAAACCTGTACATGAATGTTTACAGTAACTTTCTTCCTGTTAGCCAGAAACTGTGAACAATTCAGATGTCTTACAATGAGTAAATGATTAAACAAACTGCAATACATCTATACTGCAGAACACTACTTGACAAATTAAAAGAAACACATTACTGACACATGCAACAACCTGGATGAATCGCTAGATAATTATGCTGAGGGCTCAAAGACAATCCAAAAGGTTGTTTAACTGTATGGCTTCACATAGAACATTCTTAGTGAGAAAATCATAGAAATGGTGACCAGATTAACAGTTGCCAGACACTAGGAAGCAGAGGTAGAGGAAGATGGCAAGTCAGTGTACTGTAAGAAATCACCAAGAGAGCTTCCAGCTGGGTGCGGTGGCTCATGCCTGTAATCCCAGCACTTTGGGAGGTGGAGGTAAGAAGATTGCCTGAGTCCTGGGGTTCGACACCAGCCTAGGCAACAGTGAGACAATAAATAAAAAAATTAGCCGGGCACAGTAGATTGCACCTGTGGTTCCGTTACTTGGAAGGCTAAGGCTGAAGGATCGCCTGAGACGAGCAGGTCGAGGCTGTGGTGGCTATAAACATGCCACTGCACTGCATTTCAGATTGGATGACAGAGTGAGACTGACTCAAAAAAAAAAAAAAAGAGAGAGAGAGAGCTCCGATGGAAATGTTGCACACCTTGATCACATCAATGTCAATACTACCCTGGTTATGATACTGTATTCTAGTTCTGCAAGATGTGACCACTAAGAGAAAGTTGGTGAATGATACAGGGGATCCATCTCTGTATTAGTTCTTATAAATGCACTAACATTTACAATTATCTCAAAATAACTTTGATTAAAAAACATTATAAAATGTTAAAGACTCATCCAAGGGAGACATAAATGCTGGGGCTAATTAGATAACATAGTAACCAGGAGGAAAAAAAAAAGAGAGAGAAATGGGGGCTGCAGAAATAGCACCAGCGTTGAGCAGAGCTAGATGGAGGCCCCAGCACAGTGCTGCACCCTGCTTTGCACCTGGCACATGACACTGTGTGCTGTGGAAAAGGAGCCACAGAGGGAGTTACCCACCCTTGTCCCCTGTCCAGTTATGTCATTCAAAGTGGGATTTTTTTTCCTTCCCAGTAAAATATCCAAGTTATTAAGTTATTGTCTCCAGTTCAAAAAAGATCCAATTTGCAGGACTTTAAAAACAAAATTTTTTTAAAAACCAATCGCGTTTCCTCCCCAAATACCTGATAATTTCTTACCTGTCCCCAAGCATACAGGTTATTGTGTGTCTGAGATGGGTTGACTTTGGACAAAAGGAATCGAGCCTTTAGGGAAAAAAAAAGTTTAAAGATTAAAAGTGACATGAATATGAGTGTAACAGAAAAAAGTTAAATAACTTTTAACATTTCTTTGGTGAAATTTGAAATTTTTTCCTGTATAGGAACCGGCTTCTGTAGCTCAAGCCCACTGGCTTTCCATTTATTAAGGATCCCAAAGTAGGAGACATGTTTTTTATTTTGGCCTCTACTTCTACATCTGCATATTTTGGCCACTCATTTAAAGGAAGTCATATGTGGACTGATTATCTATCTATAAGTCAATTTATGTCACCACATCAAATACCAACCATCCTGTTTAGATGTAGAGCCATAAAAACCAATCCCAAAACTAAGAGACCATCAGAGCTGGAACTCGGTCCACTCACCTGACTGCCCCCGTGCTCCGTGTTGATGTAACGTGGCATCGGGAAGCGCGCTTGCAGAATTTCCTGTGCATCATCCAGTGGTGCTTGCAGAAGGTGCTTGAAGTTTTCATATTCAGGCATGTCCTGGTACCCAGCTTTACGCCACTGGGCTATGGTCTACACCAAAAGAAACCCAACCAAATCTGTTGGGGAAACTGGAATGGCTGCCTTCATCCACAATGACATTTCCATCACCACCACCACCACCCAGAACTTGTTTCCAGTGAAGAAGACTTATGTCAAAAATGACAAGTTTCAGCCAGGCGTGATGGCTCAGCCTGTAATCCCAGCACTTTGAGAGGCCAAGGCGAGAGGACTGCCTGAGCCCAGGGGTTCGAGACCCACCTGGGAAACTTGGTGAGACCTCGTCTCTACAATAAATCAAAAAATAAGCCAGATGTGGTGGCGTGCGCTTGTAGTTCCAGCTACTTGGAAGGCTGAGGCGGAAGGATCAACTGAGCCCAGCAGGTCAAGGCTGCAGTGGTCGTGAGAGTGCCACTGCACTCCAGCCTGGGCAACAAGAGTGAGACTCCAACTCAAAAAAAAAAAAGACAAGTTTCAGTAGGAAAGCAAAGCAGAGCTCACTAGGAGAAGGAGAGGCAGGAGTGAGCAAGAAGGCCGCATCCAGGACACCCCTGCCACACAGTTCTCCTAGGAATGTCAGTCATCAGTCTCACCTCCTCTCTCCTTTGCAGCTGTATACACCAAAAGGTTAGTGAAATCCTTGACTGAGTTATCACAAGGAGTTGGGGCCTCTCTCCCTTTCCACTTCCATGGTTACCACTCAGTCCAGCTGCTCACCTCCCCCACCCAAGAGACAAAGGGATTTGTTGGCTGCCCTAGATTCTAGAATATAGAATCTATTACTACTTCTCTTTTCCTAACAGCACACACACATGACACAGATCCTCCAGTGGGCTGGGTGATACAGGCTGGGTGATACTGACTCATCCCACGTCCTGCTCTCTGAGTTGGGATGCTCTTAGTGGGGAGACAAAGGCTGTAGGAAATCAACGTGTGAGTGCTAACTGGGCAATAAGGAGATGCAATATGCTAAACTGTGGAAGAAAGGAAAGAGGACTTGTCTCACGACTAGGCTGAACACTTTGGGTCTTACTCGCTCTTTCATACTCATCAGCAACTGGTCTAGGAAACATCCTGATACACAGGAAGAAACATTCATGAACAGATTCATATATCTTTCTAAATAAGCTGAAGTGCTTTCACATGTCACTCAGGAAAACAAGAAAATAAAGGAAAGGCAACATGGAGAAAGAGGATACAGCACGTGTGCAATGTGTCTCAACGACAGAGCTGTGAGCATGACTCCAGGCAGAGGACTGTCTCCGGAGCCTCCTTCTGCAGCCCACTCTGCCCTACTTCCCAGAGTTGCAGTCAGCGTCTTCAGGTCTGAATTCCCTGACCAGGTCCCCTGGTCCTCCCACAAGCTTACTTGGGTCCAAAAGTGCATAAGAACACCCTCATCCAGCTTACTGTGGGCTTCTGGAGGGTGACAGCAATGTCACTGTCTTCGCCTTTATAGCCACTCACTTGCACAAAAAGGTGCTCAATCAATGAATGGGATCTGGGGCTGCAGTCAGAAATGTCTACAAGAAGTGAGCTGAAGACAGAGAAAGCCATGCTGCCGAGACAGATGCCCCTTGATACCCACAGAGACTGTGGCTCCAGCGTACCCTCCCCCTCCAGGGCACCAAGACCCAAGGATACTCCAGTCCATCATATAAAATGGTGTAGTATTTTTGCATGTAAAATACTACAAATCCTTCCACATACTTTAACTTATCTCTGGTTTACTTATAATACCTAATTCAATGTAAATGCTATATAAATAGTTGTGTATTACATTTTTAAAATTTGTATTACCTTGTATTGTTAAATTGGTTTTTTTAAATTACTTTTTCAAATATTTTTGATCCATAGTTAGTTGAGCCTGCAGATGCAGAACCCATCAGCTGGAGGGCCAAATGCTACCAAAGGACACAGTGGGAAGACCAGCTGGTCACCCAGGGGCCCTTGGTCTAGGACCATCACTGATAGCCTCACTTCTGTGAGCAAGCAGCTGGCAGAGTGGGTGTTAATATGTTGGAGAAAGTTTCAAGTTACAAAATGCTTGTTAGTATCAGAAAATAAGTACTTCCTAAATTACTGAGGGAATTCTGAAACACAATTTATACCTTTTCAGGACATCTGAAATCATTTCTAATGTTCAGACACTAGGAAGCCAAATCAATCACCAAAGCCTTTTAATGAAATACAAGAAAAGCATCACTGCTTTTGCTCACTGCTTAATGCTCAATTAACAGATTTTTTTTTTCCCTATAAGAGCAAATAATTCAGAGGAGTCACTCTTTTTCTTAAGGCATGAACCTCTTTGAGAAAGAAATGGCTTCTCCCCGAAAGTCATCCATGGCCATCCTAGTCGCATAACGTTCCCTTTGCCACACTATCTCATCAAAGAAAAACTTTAGCCCCAAATTCCAGCATTGCTCGGAAGGACAGAAGTGTGTATAACATTTTTAGCAAGGAATAATAAACTAGTCGTGCCAATGACTTACAAAGTAATAAAGTACAGTGATTTAAAAGACCACCTGAGACTTATAGCAATTATTAAAATTACTAAATAAACTAAGATACTCCAGGGACCTAAGAAAATATTTACTAGAATAAAAGCTCCTGTATTCAAAATAAACTGAGCTTTTTAAGCCCAAATTCCATTTTCAAATTTCATGAGAAACGATAGAAAGAGACAATCGAACAGGCAGTCACTCTGTGATTCTCCTTGTGCACATGTTAAATAAATGTGTATGCCTTTCTCCAATTTAAAAACAAACAAACGGAAAAACAACAGTAAAGAAAAAATGAATATCAACTTACTTCACCGAGATAAATGACAATTTGGAAGAAAGTATCCATCAGCAAAATCCTATCGGCCAGAATGCTGCTGCTATCCAAGAGCACTGGCTGAAGAAGAGAAGAGAGAGGGCATTAGACTTCCCTGGTCCCACAGTGGCCACTCCCCTCCCACACCTGGTGCCCACAGCCAGTGCGGAGGCTGGTTACAAATGCACCTGACACAGTGCGCTGCCCTCTTCCTGTCACACTCCCACTTTCTGCTCCTGACTTAGCAGCTCTCAGCCTCAACTTTGTAAAAAAAAAAAATATATATGCTCCAAATAATCCCTCATCAATTAGGAAGAGCCATTAATGATATCTTTTGATTCAGGAACCAGAGATAATTCTGAATATTCTAGTTTTGTGCTAGAAATGCATTTTATCAATCAGAGACACTTTCTCTGTAGATGAGACAGAGCAGGAATGCCTATGTAAAGTAGTATTTATTACAAGTTTTTAAAGTTTACAAAATATGTGTTTTTGTTTTCAATAGGTAAAATAAAATAACTTATACTCATTAAAGAAAATTTAAAACCTTGTACCCAAGTATAACAAAAAGGACGTTTTGGTTTATTTCAACATAGTTCTTTATTTTTGCAGTTTAGAAAAGTTTTTTGGGTTTTTTCATGTAGCATTTTTACATAAGAAGTTATCTATCTCTTCTATTATGTTACATAAAATTTATAGAACCCATATCCACAGATTCCACATCTGTGAACTTGATCAACCTTCAATTGAAAATATTTGAAAAAAACAATTGTGTCTGTACTAAACATGTATAGACTTTTTCGTTGTCATTACTTCCTAAACAATATAGTATAACAACTATTTACATAGCATTTACATTGTATTAGGTATTATAAATAATCTAGAGATGAGTTAAAGTGCACAGGAAGATGAACATAGGTTATATGTAAATAGTACGCCTTTTATGTTTTTTAAGTTGGGGGTTTCACCCTGTTGCCCAGGCTGGAGTGCAGTGGCACAATCATGACTCACTGTAGCCTTCACCTCCTGGGCTCAGGTAATCCTCTTGCCTCAGCCTCCTGAGTAGCTAGGACTATAATACATGTCACTATGTTTGGCTAACTTTTTTGTTTCGTAGAGATGAAGACTCATTATGTTGTCCAGGATGGTCTCAAACTCCTGGACACAAGCAATCCCCCCTCCTTGGCTTCCCAAAGTGCTGGAATTATAGGTGCGAACCACCACACCTGGCTGTTACGCCATTTTACATCAGTAACTTGAGCTTCCATGAATTCTGGTATCTGAGGGAGTTCCTGGAACTAATTCCCCACAGATACTGAGGGATGACTGCATTTCTGAGGTTATTTATTTATTCTTCTATTATTGAACATTTGGATTGTTATCTAATTCTCTATTAGAATAGTTCATTTACTATTTATTTGCACAAAGTCTACTCCCGTATCTAGGAGTATTTCCTTAAGATACATTACGAGACACGCAATTAATGGGTTTAAGTATTAAGTACATGAACACCTTGAAAGATGTATACATGTATCTTTTTAAGGTTTAAAAAAGTTTTTTATATTTATTCCTGCCTTCCACAAATAATAGCCTTATATGTCCTTTGACTTTTTCCCAAGGATTTTTTTTTTTTTTTGAGTTGGAGTCTCACTCTGTACAGTGGCATGCTCACAGCCACCGCAGCCTCAACCTGCTGGACTCAAGTGATCCTTCTACCTCAGCTTTCCAAGTAGCTGGAACTACAGGCACACATCACCATGCCCAGCTAATTTTTTAATTTATTGTAGAGATGAGGTCTCACTAAGCTGCCCAGGCTGATCTCACAACTGTTGGCTCAGGCAATCCTCTCACCTCACCTTGGCCTCCCAAAGTGCTGGGATTATAGGCATGAGCCATCGCACTTGGCATAGGAGTTTTTTTAATACTCAGAAATGTTAAATTACCATAAAAACTCAATGTTGCCTTTTCTTTCTTTTTATAGTTCTGCTCTAAGAGTACACTTGCTAAAACATACATATATATAGATGGTGATTTCAATTCTCAGAAGAGCGTTTGGAAGAACCCTCACCTCCGGAGGCCCATGGAATGAGTAGGAGTAGAGGATGGGCTGAATCATGATGAGGGACTGGGTCAGATCCTGCCGGGCAAAGTGGTGTCTGTAGTACGACGACTCATCGGGGCTGTTGTTGAACACTTGAAGGAATGGAGATCTTCTGAGATGGAACATGAACTGGATTTACAAAGAAAAAATACAAATGAACACAGCTGTAACCTTCTCAGACACCCAGAGAATAGACTCACCTCAGGCCTCTGAAACAGCAGAACCCAGACTTTAAGAAGAAGGCCTCTGGGTTCACAGAAACACAAAGTACAAGGTGGTACTAGGAACAGCAGGAAGAGGAAAATAGGGAATTGCTGAATGAATACAGAGTCAGTTTTGCAACATAAAAACTTCTAGAGATAAGATGCACAACAATGTGAATATATTTAACATTACTCAACAGTTCACTAGGAAATTGTTAAGATGGTAGTTATGTTATGCATTTTTACCACAAGTTAAACTTTTTGTTTTTTAAAAAGAGGCCTTTGGATATGCAAGTTTCCACATAAAAGGGGAAAGGCAAAGAAATATGTATTCCAACTATCACTGTGCCAGGCTTGTGGAGACAGAATATCTGCTCTCAAAGGAAGTCCGGTGGGGAAAATGTACACCTGGGGGGTTGAATTATGAGCCCTAGTACAGGCAAGCACTGTGGGAGTCAGGGTGGAGAGCCAGCAGGAGACCACCCCCCAAAAAACTACGGGGGCTGAGGAAACCCTGAGACACATGCATGAAAAGGCCAAAGGGCTGGGACCAAGGGTACTCCAGGCACAGGAACAGCAGACAAGTGCTCCAGACACAGGATGGTAGTGTAGAGCGAGGGGAGCCAGGGAGAGAGGGAAAAAAGATAATGCTGTGAGTGGATTGCCTGAGCCCGTGGGTTTGAGACCCGCCTGGGCAACTTGGCGAGTCCTCATCTCTACAATAAATAAAAAAAATTAGCCGGGCGTGGTAGTGCGTGCCTGTAGGTCCAGTTACTTGGAAGTCTGAGGTGGAAGGATCCCTGGAGCCCAGCAGGTTGAGGTTGCAGTGGCCGGGAGCAGCCACTGCACTCCAGTCTGGGCAACAGAGTGCTATTCCAACTCAAAAACAAAACAAAAGATAATGCGGAGAGGTATATACTTTACCCTGAAGGACCGAGGGGAGGGGACTTTGAGTTTATTCTTGTTCCCAGAACATGCAAAGAAGTTGCCTGAGAAGTATAAAGCTTTCTGAGTCCCCAAATATTGAACCACGGGTTCCTAAATAATCATCAAGGCTGACATTCAATACATCCTACATGCAAGGAACAAAGCACTTGACAAGAATTATTTAATCCCTCCACAAGTTCCTGAGGTAGATTCTCCTACCATCCCTAGTTTACAGGTGGAAAAACTGAGGCACAGAGTGGGAAGCAATTTGTCCAAGGTCACCCCACTGCTGAGTGGCAAAGCTGAACTCTAATCTAGGCCATCTGGCTCCAGAGACTGGGTTCTTGTCCTCTATCCCAGAATATCTTGAAATAAGGATTTTTAGAAACCACCTCACCTGGTGGTTTTCAAACTGTGATCTTCAGTCTTAGTGAATCCTCAGGGCCCCAGGGTGGGGGACTCAGGTAGGACCAGTGATTGGGTGGTGCATGGGCACAACCAGAGTGGCACCAACTCTACCTACTTCCTGTGCAGGTTGCTGAGTGAAGGGTCCTCTTGAAGAGAGGCCTCCATGGCTTTACATAGGTTGCAAGCCACTTCTCCAGATCAACTCCTCCCTCCTAAAGATAAGAAAACCAAAACCCACGGAGATGTGGCACCTCACCTAGGATGGAACCCTGGTCTGACTCTGGCTGGTCCAGGGCTCTCCCCCACACAGCCTCAACTTCACAGGCACTGGCAGCTGAAAGTTCCAGACTCTGCTGTCAAGCTAACTCACATCTAAAGCTGAACAGATGCCTAGTACTGTGCTAAATACTCCACTGGTCTCAGTTACTGTCGTCCTCACAGACACCACTGAGTCAGGCTCTATTTCCTCATTTACATGAGGAGGAAATTCAGAAAAGGCAGAAACACAGATCTATGATGCAGCTTCCTGCTCCAGTCACTCCCTTCTCTCCTTCCCCTGTCCTGTGGCTCCCAAATGCAGGGTCTTGCATAGTGTAGTTATTTCCAGGAGCTGCTTACTGTTGACTTCTAATTATGATACAGCATAATAACCAGAGAGATTATTATTAAATATCTGTCACATTAATTGTGGTTTCATTTTGTTATATTCACCTCCACGTGTGCTCATTTTCTTGGTTTGCTGCTGAGGCAGCCAATTGTTCACCTAAAACTTCTACAAATTACACATTTTGTTGTGGCCTTACACCATGATCTTATTTCTTTTCTCCTCACTGCATGTCATCTTTGTCTCCTGTAGGGGTTAGAGTACTGTTTTGCAGAGACACAACATTTGTCTTGATGCAGACAACTTTTGACATTTAGCGACTAAGTCTCAAGACATAAAAGGTCTTCACCTCATCCTGAGAACAGTTTATTTCTAGCACAATTTATTGTTCTATACTTATTTTTTAAATACAGGGTACTTACCTGAGGATACAGAGAAAAGGAGTCTGATAACCTAAAGGAAGCGGGGTCTTCTTTGTTGTATTGCCCAAACTTCTGACACTATTGAAAGAAAACACCAGAAAAACACACTATGAAAAATAAAATAGCAGGTTTAACTGAACTGACAATTTTATTTTTATTTTCTCAAAAGTAGGGCAGACCAAGGTTGAATCTAATGACATTGTTTCCCACTTACCAGTCTGATGAGCTGTCGGTCCAGCCACCGGAGCACGTCCGGTCCCTCCTCTGATTCCGCGCGGAACACCCCAAGCCGTGCCATCAAGACCGCAGCAGCCTCCTGGTCAAAGGCTGCTTCTATGTGCCTGAGCTGACTCTGTGCATCTGCCCAACTGACAAGTTCAGAGTTAGTATCACGTGCGTGTTCAGGAGCGATCAGAAAGGCAGACATCCGTTTAGATAAGGAAACAAAATTCCTGTTCCTTCATCTAAGACAACAAGATTTGGACTTCATTTTTACTAAGAAATCACAGAGTTTTACATACATTCTAAGTTACCCTGAGATCTCTGAGGGCTACAAGCTCAAAAAAATTATAGAGGATAACTTTCCCAGGTTTCATCACAAAAGTAGATACTAAAATGGTACTAAGTCTCAATCTAGTGTTCCTTCCTCCAGGTCAATCTTAAACAAATCTAAACGTTTACAGATTTACAAAATGACTTTCTAGTATTACATCCATGGAAAAAGAATGAGTACATATGCAATAGCTTTCCAGATGAATAATGACATTATGAACAAAGCTAAAAGATAACAGATAAACCAGAAACAGTATGTATAACAAACATAATCATCATACCCAAAATACATAATCTATATAAAATCTCTGCAAACCACTGAACAAGAAAAATAATCAGTTCTACAAAATAAACAACAGCTATCACAGAAGAAATACTTATGGCCAATAAACATGAAAAAGTACTCAACTCATTGATAAATGGGAAAATACAAATGAAAGTGAGATATTGCATGTTATCTCTCTATATATCTATAATTGCATGTTGAAAACTGAAAAAATCCAGGCCGGGCACAGTGGCTCATGCCTGTAATCCTAGCACTTTGGGAGGCCGAGGTAGGAGGACTGCTTGAGCCCAGGAGTTCGAGACCATACTGGGCAAAATAGCAAGACTTGTCTCTACAAAAAATAAAAAAACCACTAGCTGTGGTGGTGTGTTTCCAGCTATACTGGAGGCTGAGGCAGAAGGAATGCCCGAGCCAGGAGGTCAAGGCTGTAGTAAAAAAAAAAAAAGGAACATCTATTGTTAATAAGGAGATAGGGCACTCTCCTTATACTATTGGACTGAGTACAGATTAGTTTCTTAGGAGAGTAGTTTTACAGTATCCACAATTTCATTTCTATGAAGTAGCTGGAAATAAATACTCATGTACACAAAGACCTAAAAATATGAATGCAGCACTGTTGGAAGGCAAGGCCTGAAATGTCCTTAACAGAGGAGCCAAATCAAGCAATACTAGGTCTCTATCAAAATACAAGAGATATGTGCTTGCAAGTAAACATATGCATGGAGATAATGAGAATGTGGAGTCAAACACCAGGCATGGCATTTACCTCCTGGGAAGGTGAGTGAGGAGACCCATTTTTCTTTCTATATAGTCAGCCCTCTGTATTCATGGGTTCCGCACTGGCAGATTCAACCAACCACGGATCAAAAATGTAGTTAGGACTAGAATGGCTGCATTTGTACTGAACAAGTACAGACTTTTTTCCTGTCATTATTCCCCAAACAATGCTGCATAACAACTATTTACATAGAATTTCCATTGTGGTAGGTATTTATAAGTAATCTAGAAATGATTTTTTTTTTTTTTGAGTCTAGGTCTCACTGTGCTACCCAGGCTGAGGTACAGTGGCATGATCAGGATTCACTGCACTCTCAACTTTCTGAGCTTAGGTGATCCTTCTACCTCAGTTTTCTAAGTAGCTGGGATTACAGAAACGTACTGCCTTGCCTGGCTAATTTTTTGAATTTTGTTGTTATTGCCCAGGCTGGTGTCAAACTCCTGGGCTCAAGTAATCCACCCATCTTGGCCTCCAAAGAGTTAGGATTACAGGCATAAGCCACTGTGCCTGGTCTAGAGATGATTTAAAGTATATAGGAGGATGTGCATAGACTATATGCAAAGTCTACACTATTTTTCATAAGGGATTTGAGTGTCCATGGATTTTGATATCCACAGGGGCTCCTGGAACCAATCCCTCACATATAAAAAGGGATAACTGAACTTATATACTACTGGAATCGTTTTTTTTTTTTTTTTTTTTTTAGTTGGAGTCTCACTCTGTTGCCCAGCCTGGAGTGCAGTGGCAAGCTCATGGCCACCACAGCCTCAACCTACTGGGTTCAGGTGATCTTCTACTTCAGCCTTCCAAGTAGCCAGAACCATAGGCATGTGCCACAATGCCTAGCTGATTTTTTGGTTTATTTTAGAGACAAGGCGTCACCAAGTTGCTTATGCTAGTCTCGAACCCCTGAGCTCAAGTAATCCTCTTGCCTTCACTTCCCAAAGTGCTGGGATTATAGGCATGAGCTACCATGCCCAGCTACTACTGGAATCTTTTATGAAGAGGATGTTTTATGGGTTACTTATCTAATAAGCAAAATAATAAATAATAATTTCTAATGGACTATATTCCTACAGAAAGATGACTCCTCTAGGCAAGAGTTCATAAGCCCAACTGGGCTACCCAAAAAAGCCTCCTCCTCCTCTGATCAAATAAGCCAGTTAGGACCAGTGAGAACCATTCAGTGGAATCAAAAGACAAATTAACAGATGATAACATATTTCTTCATGGGAAAAATATCAGCCAGTGGCTCAACATAAAGGAAACTGGGGCTGCTTACTTTCGAGCAATGGTGGTCACACGGATGCGTCTCTGGGTGCTGGAGTGTTGATACTGTGTGACAAACTGGATAGCACCTCTGCCTCCTTGGGGGATCGGGGTGTTGTGCTGCAGGGTGAGAGGCCACAACCTCGTTACTGTTACAGGAGCGACTCAGCAGTCATAGAGCCTTCATCTACAATAACTGACACAGTAGTGACAGTAAGGTTCTTGATGAATTGTGAAAGGTACACTTGGGATTTGCCCATAATCTTTACCTCAAAAAAAGAAGAAACACATTCAATACTGATCTCCAGTTCACGATATGCATCAAAAAAATGAACGGATTGATCAATAAATATGAACAAGCAAAATAAACACATGCCTCATTTAATTGTGCTTCGTACACAGATTCTGTGTTTTGTTTTTTCATTTTACAAATTTAAGATTTGTGGCAACTCTGCATCAAACAAGTCTGCTGGCAGCATTTTTCCAACAGCATGTGCTCACTTCATGATGGTGGATGATAAAGCCATTACTCTCTAATGACCTTATCAGTTTAACAATAAAGTAACAAAAGCAATTTTCTGTATGCTTCTGATTAAACCCTGGAAGGAATAAAAAAAGATCATGCCAGACTAGCATCAAGCCTAATACAATACCAAAGTAGTGTCAGTTTGTGAAAAAAATAGCCAGAAACCAATAGTTTGCAGTAAGTCAGAAAACAGGACACCAAGACATGACACACGGAGAAATTCAACTTACCTGATTGACTACTTCAAAGTAAATGCCAAGTGTAGATGTGGGATCCAGGCCACAGATTTTCCACTGACTCGTGCCACCAACACCAAGCTCCTAGGGAAAAGAAGAGGAATTGAGAAAACAAAACCAAAAAAACACCCTCCATGGTTAATTGCTGATGATAAGTACTGAGTAGAGCAAGCCACTTAGAATATCTCCTTCTAGATGAAAACTTAGGTTTAATTGAAAAATTTTTACTGAAGAAAACAATTATAAACCAGAAGAATGCTTAACATTTATATTTATAATACTTCCAATTTAAGCTTTTTATACTGACACTTCAACTTACAGGTATATATATTATATATGGGATACATAACACTGAAATCAACAAGGAATCAAGTCAGCATTGAGGAAAAATTAAATAGTAAGAGAATTACCTATTTAGCCTGAAAGTTTTATGTGCCTCTTTAGTCATTATTAGAATAAAAAATAAAAAGTTGTACAACATTAGTTATACAACATTAATTTTTAATGCAAAAGCAACACAAAAATTTTCAGGAGGGGAACTGAAGAGATGATAGTGGTATGAATGCTACTCTCTACTGACTAGTTGAATGGCTACCTGTGATAAACATGAGGCTCAAAATGTGAATCTGAGTAACACTGTTTCAACTATAACATGTAGAAGAAAAGCCTGCAAACATCAGGAATCCTTAACTGAAATCACTAGGGTCTGAAAAATACATTCTATCTTTCTAGGGGACCCGAGTACTACACGTTCTAACATACCTCATCAAACTGTGAAATATCATGCTTAGAAAGGAACATGTTTGACTGTAGCAAGGGCGATGGGAGTTATGAGCCAGGAACCATAGGTGAAAACCATTATCTATAGTATAACACATGTAAATTAGCACTCTCCCTTTTGGGGGAAAAAAAAGTAATGTGATTATGCATTAAGGGTCAGGACATTTCTTCCATACTGCTCTGAATCCACCCACACTATAGTGTCAGTGAAGTACAGCCGATGCCAGTCTGGTCTCTCTACAAAGCCACGTCAGAAGCCTCTGTATCTGGCCACAGAATGAGCAGTATCAGGAAGGTGACAGTCAGAGGGAAGATTCTTAAATGAAATCACGCAGCAGCTCTAAGGTGGATAGTGGGGAGGGTATGCCCTAAGGTGGAAAGTGGGGAGGGTACACTCTGTTCATCAGTAAATCCTAAGCTAGATCATGAGATGGATGGATGGATTCGTGAGAATTCACCTTCCCTTCTATTGGCCTTTTCTGAAAGAAGCAGGTGTTCATCATCTGCTGGAAAGTAAAGGGTCACACCCAGGAAAAAGGCAAAGAAGTCAGAGCTTGCAGGTCTTCCTTCCTTACCTCACTAATCTCTCTCCAGATGCCAGACCCAGTGTGGCCACAAACCCTACAGAGCATAAAAACACTTCCTCACGAATACACAAATTTCTTGCTTAAGTATTCACCCTTTAAATGACTTTATTGGAGGAACTGTAAAGACAGAACTAAGAAATCACCATTTTATAAGCTCCGAAGAAATTAATTTATTCATGGGAGGATAATCAGTGGATGCTAAAACCGTTAGGCTGTTGGCAAACAAGATTTTCACACTGCGCTACAACCTCATTCAAGACTTCTTGCTAACAACAAATGGGAAACATGCCCTTACAAGAAAAAGACATGTGCAGTGACCAACTTCACCCCACGGCTTAACTCAGCACCACTAACATGGGATAAACAGACTGCAGTGCCTCTGGATGTTAACACAGCACAGAGTACACCCCCAGGAAGTATGCTTGGCAAAAAAGGCTTAGTCTGAGTCTAATTACACCCTAATCCTAACTTCCACTGTACAAAAAACACAGGGAGGAAAGATACAAGTTAAACATCTACTACTCCCCAGACAGACACATGTGGGAATGTGGGATCATCTATTAGAGAAGACACCCAGCACTGTCTCTTCACCGAAGCAATGCCATTTAATCTTTAAAAAGCACAAACATTTAAAAAATGAACAAAAAGATAGGGCTATTCTAGACTTTATAAAATTAAGTTTATATGATATCGAATGCAAAGCTGGCTAGAGGAAAAACAGTTACACAGGGCATATGGGAAGAAATCAGAGAACTATGAACCAGATATTATACTAGGACATTAACATTCACTTTCTTAGGTTTGATAATGATGTCATGGTAGGAGAACACCCTTATTTTTAGGAAATACACACTGAAGTACTTAAGGATTAAGTGTCATGATATCTGCAAATTGTATTCAAAGGACTGCAAAAAAAGTTGACAAAGCAAATACATCAAATAGATAGCAACCAGATAAAACAAATGTGGCAAAAAAAGATGACAGCAATTATGGCAAATGTTAGCAGTCACTAACATACAGGAATTCATGAAACTCTTCTTTAAACTTCTCTGAATGCTTGAAAATTGTCTTTTCCCATTCTTTGCATCCTCATTCCCCAACCAACATTTTCATGGTTGAACTCCACTGGACAGCTAATCAGTTTGTACTAATTCATGAAATATATTAACTACTTCAGAAAGCCTTTATCAGGCAGATTTTAAGCCCATGGACACTATTTTAGAACAAGGTAGTCTTCCAAAGTCCTGCCAGAAAATGGGTTCAAACCCCTTAGCACTCTGGTGTAATGACGACTCAACAATGGGCTTTTGGACAGCAACTTTCAAGCAGCAAACCCCAGGAATGTTCTCTCACATTGTCTTGCCTCTGCCAAGCGCAACAAGAGTTTAATCTATGTAGTCACCCAGGAATGTTTGTTGCTGAAGACAAAGACATGAAAAATGACATCTGTGGGCTTCCAGTGTGTCAGGCACTGTACTGCCTTTCTCTGAACTAACTCATTTAATTCTCCCAACAATGCTAGAAAGTGGGTGTTATTATCCCCACCAGATAAAGACACTGACTCACAAAGCAATTAAGTACTTTTCCCCAGCTAGGTAAGTGTAGACCTGCACCTTGAATCCACATGTGGCTCTACAATCCACCCTCCCACTGATGACAAAGAAGAAACACTTGTTTGTGTAACCCCAGGCCAGGAGAGCTCTCACCAGAATAAATGGTTTGCCTCTGGCAGTTAAAGTATAATTAGAGGAAGGTGGCCATCAGCAAAGCCACTCCTCCTGGGTGATAACTAAACTTTGTTTACACAGACTCAAAATCAATTACTAGTGGACAACTGTGTCACACACTGCCAGACCACCAGACCAACTCACGGTGATCTCTGTAGTATAAAGCTCATTGTTAGCCAAGTGATACAAAGGTATCACCTCCAAGGACAAGGAGCACAGAGGTTTACTCCCGAATGACAGTACTGAATGTCTGCCTTGTGCTGAACAGAATGCTTGTGGCTTTGAGCACAGTGACCCAAGTGTGGGTGGTAGAGTCGGGAGGACCTAGGTAGGCTCGTTCTCCAAATCAGTTCTGACTCCAAGCAAGATATTTAACCTAAGCCTCAGTTTCCATCTCTCTGGTCCTTTAGGCAGATGGATGGACAGATGGAAATCACACCACCTCTCAGAATTGTGGCTGTTATTGAGGATTCACCCATCTCCTCTCACCACAGATACACCCAACAGATGACAAAAGACAAGCTCCTTACAGTCCAACACTTCTAATGGCTCAATCAGGCATAGCAGGTGAAGGTGATGGATTTGTTTTTCTTACATTTTCTGACACACACGGTCCTTTCACATTCAGAGATACACATGGACCAATGGCTCCTGCTATCTTCAGTTCCCGAGAGGTCTAAAACAAATCATGCAAAGGTATAAAATTAAAAATTATGAAGATCCATGCTGCTTTCATTTCATTTCATGGCCACAACAAAACCTAGAGGAAAAACATGGCAATGCTACCATTCTGCCAAAAGAAAGCCCCACATGGACCACAAGTGCTCTATGACAAGCTTTTCCAGGGCCACTGTGAACTGATTGCAACTTTAATGAAATTTGACCTTAGAAACATTTGACACATGAGTATTTTCAACTCTTCCGATTCACTTTTTTTACTTTGAAATTATGTACACATAGGTAACAATTTACCAACAACACTACATTCTTTTCCAATCCCATGTATGAATATATTCATGTTCATGTATAGTCATAATTATTTGCATATTCCTAATCAGAGAACATACAGTTTTGGTTGCTTTAAAAATAGTTAATTCATGAACTCCAACATGACAAAACCAACATATTTAGATTTTTTTAAATGTGAACTAATGGCTGGGCGTGGTGGCTCATGCCTATAATTTCAGCACTTTGGGAGGCCAAGGTGAGAGGATTGCCTGAGTTCATGGGTTCGAGATCAGCCTGGGCAACTTGGTGAGACTTCACCTCTACAATAAATAAATAAATAAATAATTAGCTGGGCTTGGTGGTGCATACCTGTAGTTCTAGCTACTTGGAAGGCTGAGGTGGAAAGATTACCTGAGCCCAGGTTGAGGCTGCAGAGGCCATGAATGTGCCACTGCCCTCCAGCCTAGGCAATAGAGAAAGACACCAACTAAAAAATAAAGTAAAATAAAAAAATAAAATGTGAACTAATTTCAAAAAGTCCATTATTACTCACCTTTAAAAAAAAAAAACTCAAACATTCGAGAATATTGTTTATTTAAAAAACAAAACAAAAACACAGAAATTGATTCTCTTATAGTTCTGGGTGTTAGAAATTCAAAATCAAGGTGTTGACAAGGCTACGCTCCTTCCACAAGCTTGGGGGGCAATAGCCCTTGTCTTTTTCAGCCTCGCTTACTGATGGCTTGTTGCTGCATCACTGCTCAGCTTTCATGTGGCTTCCCCATCCCTCTCTGTCAAGAATGTTGTTTAAAGTTTAACTCAGATAAATTAATAATTATCTCAACTCTCCAAGTAATAATTCCAATCAGCTCTTCTAATGGCCCCCTTTATTGTTTCCTCAATGACTTAAAACCAGTTGCATAGGGCCATGAGTCCCTATACGAAAAATAAACCAGGCTCACAACGCATTTTAGAGCACTCTAGCTATACAGTCAGGCAGGCACTAGTTGTAACCAAAGCTCTGCAATGTACTGAGCCATGCAGATGGTTGAGTGGACACTGACCACCCATGTGGCTGCTCTGTCCTCAGGCCACGGTGCAGTGCCTAACACCACCCCATCTCCCCTTCAACCTCCTGCTGCCCTGAAGCAGATGGGTCAAAGTCTGCAGGGGAACCAGGCAACTCTTTGTTTAGACAGGAATAAATATACAGGTCATCCTCGAGAAGCAAAGAATAACATTCTTTGTGATAGATATGTGTTGAGATTCTTTCAATCTGAGATTCTGGCCTTAGATGTGTCCAGCAGGTAAAGATTGCCAAAAGTCTGACTAATGAATAAGACTATGATTCCATTAAAGTTTCCAAAGTCTACAGTACCTTTACTTCCAGAGTAGCACCAAATGCCATTCGGAAATTTCCATTAAAATCTTTACTAAAAATTCTTTGGAATGTCTGCTTGAAGAGAGAAGTGTTGAAAGAATCTCCCATTACCATGTGCCCTCTAAATAAGCAAAAAGAAAAGTAAATGTTAGAATGATAACACCATTCAGATGCTCCCTCAGTATTACAAATAATAATTTTATGAATGCCAGGTGCAGTGGCTCACACTTGTAATCCCAGCACTTTAGGAGGACAAAGTGGGAAGATCCTTGAGCCAAGAAGTTCAAGACCATCCTAGGCAGCAAAGTGAGATCTAGTCTCTACAAAAAAAAATTTTTTTAATTAACCAGGCATGGTGGCAAATGCCTGTAGTCACAGCTATTCAGGAGGCTGTGGCAGAATGATTGCCTGAGCCCATGAAGTGGAGGCTATGATGAGCCCTGATTGGGTTACTGCACTCCAGCCTGGGTGACAGAGACCCCAATTCAAAGAAAATAAAATAAAGAAGAAAAAAAAAAGATCAGGTCTATAAAGATGCTACTGACTGATATAAATGGAAAACAAAAAGTTCAATTTATACTTAGGAAAGAAACTCCTTCTAAAACGTTAAAAAGAATCCTTAAGAAGATCCCTAATTCCTCTCACACTTCTATGGCATGGGAAAATACTCAGGCCTGTGAGAAATCCTTTTCAGGTTAACTAACTGCCTCAGAACGTTGAATTCTTGACTTTACAAGAATCATTTTTTCTAATTCACAAATATTAGTACTCATCCCTTATTGAAGTTAAAGGGAGATACTGTTGAAAACTGCAGCATTTCATGTATTTCACGAAGAAGCACAGCTGGATGCAAGTTATGCATCCAGCTGTCATTCATGAAACAAAATCTCAGAATTGGGAAGAATGCAAGAAAGACCACCTGGTCCAGCCATCTCAGAGTGTCTGAACCCTCCAGTGAGGGGTCAGTTATTTGATCCCAAATATCTACCTCTTCCTTGACATATTTTACAGTTGCCTGGAATAAAGATGACATGTCCCAGTCTGCCTTGCGTGTGGTTATGTATCTCAGTCCTGCCTCTTGGCGTGTCCTTTACAGAACAGGTTTAATTTTCTCTAGTCTCTTCTCCTTCCTGCTGCTGTTAACAGCTAGAGCTCCAACAACCATCTTGACCCACAGATTGCATATTAAGGGGGTGGAACAGTCAGGTAGGAGCCTTCGTTCCTAATGATGATGAAATCAACATGGCAGCCCTGAGCTGCCTACGTTTAGAAAGAGGAAATTGGTTTGGGTTTTCTCTCACATTCATACAAATCTAATCCCAACTTGCATCTGCCCCTCTACAACATACCCACTTCTCACAAAAAAGTACCCTGATAAAGGTCAGATAATTCATGTTTGCTTGCTTCCCTGGTTTTATCTCTGTACAAGTCTAACAATGTAAAGAAGAAATGAAGTCAGTCTGATGCAACTTGTTTGCAGTGAACCCCTAGGACCTCCTACTCATCACTGCTTCCTCCTCTGAGGAGCCCACACCCCGTCCCCAGCCACTGAAACCACAGCTCAGAGGTTCCTGAAAGCTTCTCTTAAGTTGTCCTCACCCATTCCTGTGGCTCTGTCATTTATTTCTCTTTCCCTAAGATAATACTCTCACTTTTCCCAGGTGTTTACTGTCAACGTACCCAGTAAGATTTGGACAACACTTCATCTCCAATAGTCCAGTTTGATCAAGGGCACAAGCATAAATATCAATGCAGTGACCATTTACAGCAGTTCGATTAGCAAGCATCTCATAGTGCTGTGAAGAGAGGAAAACTTTAGGAAACAAAAACAATATTCCCAAGGTATGCCTGAATGTAATCAAATATAGGAACACGAAGATCATTGCCTTCAAAACATCCAAATAAGCTGGGTACAGCCTGTAATCCCAGCACTTTGGGAGGCAGAGGCGAAAGGACTGCCTGAGCCCAGGGGTTGAGACCAGCCTGGGCAACTTGCTGAGATCTCATCTATACAATAAATTTAAAAAATTAGCCAGGCATGGTGGCACGTGCCTATAGTTCCAGTTACTTGGAAGGCTAAGGTGAAAGGATTACCTAAGCCCAGCAGGTCAAGGCTGCGGTGGCCATGAGTGTGTCACTGCAACCCAGCCTGGGAGACTGAGTGAGACTCTGACTACAAAAAAAAAAAAAAACCCAAATAAAATAAAAATATAATTTTCTTTTTCTTTTTCAATTTTTTTTTGAGTTGGAGTCTCACTCTGTCACCCAGCACCCAGGCCGCTCCCGTCCACTGCAGCCTCGATCTGCTGGGCTCCGGTGATCCTTCTGCCTCAGCCTTCCAGGTAGCTGGAACTACAGGCACGCGCTACCATGCCCGGCTAATTTTTTTTATTTATTGTAGAGATGAGGTCTCGCCAAATTGCCCAGGCAGGCCTCGAACCCGCAGGCTCAGGCAATCCACTCACATCAGCCTCCCAAAGCGTGGGATTACAGGCTGAGCCACCGAGCCTGGCTATTTTTTTCTTTTTTAAATACATTTATCAATCTCAAAACACTTTGAGCAGTTGTAGGGGATAGTAACTTAACAGCCACCAAGATATGGAAGACTGTCTCCAAAAGAGATCTTGCTGACCATGACGCATGGCCTCGGCAAAGCAGATGTCATTCCAGAGTAGCCCAAACCTGGCACTGGGTTACCACAATTATATCCAAGAATACCTACCTTGGTTGCCTTTTTCATGAAACGTGCATTATCTTTCTCAATATCATGCCAGGAACGAATAGGAATCTTCAATTCATCTCCAACCACCATGCCAGGTCCTTGGGTAGGGGGACCTCCAGTAAACAGCATGATCCTGGCACCCGTGTTTGGAAAAGTGCCCTGAAATAGTGAATAGCAGCATTTTAGACATATGGTGCCCGCCTCCAAAAATGCTTTCCATTTCCCTATAGAAATATTCCAAAGACAGCTTCTCTTCAGCTGGATACTGGTGACACTGCACAATGACACAATTGATGCAGAAAAGCAACAGTTCCCTTCTTCCAATCTGATGGCTTCGTACCCTTTTATTAGCTGTGAGCACTTCCCATTGCTCTAATTCCCCATGTTTTTCATGAAAACTTTTGGTATTTTCAAAACTCTGAGGGCTCCTTCAATATGGATAACAATAATGCCTGAAGCAATTTCAGATATAATAACACAGTTGGTTGCCTGAGGCCACAACTGATTTTCAACAAAGCCAACAAATACATTTTCTGAGAGCAAGTCCGCGTGGTTTGAGAGGTCCTAGTGAATTCTGAATTACCTCCAGCAAGCCAACAGCAATGGACAAGGCAACACCAGTGGATCGCAGAGGTCTCTTCCCCTGAGTTACTGGCCATGGGTCCCTCTGGAGCTCCCCAAGAAGATCAGTGAGGTTCATGTCAATCTTGTGAACAGGCTGCAGAAATCTGTTTGATTTTGAACAGACTCATTAACCCTAGTTTAATAAAGTATTCTGGGCTTCAACCCTAGGTTACACATGGTTACTGCTCTTCAAAATAATTACTCAGAGTAGAAAAAACTTGCAATTTTTTTCTCCAGTGTTATCTCTAAATATGAACACAAGAAAATTCAAAGCAAATTTATTGAGGAATAGAATTAAAAGTCTAGTATTTACCAATACATATATGTAGCATGAGAAAAATCAACTTGAAAAGGAGCAAATCAGTCTAATTACATTTTAGGCAGCAAAGAAATCCTGAGGACACGCCTAACATAAATTGTGTCACTGGGTTACCACAACTACAGTCCCATATCCTATGTATCCTGTTTAAAGTCCAATTATGTGGACAATCTTCATCAACCTGAAGTTTCACTTTGTGCTCCTTTTGAGCATTGAGAATAACACAGAGAGTAAGAGGTTGCTCCCAGCAAGTCAGGCAATGCATTTTATCGAGTTTGTAAGCTGTTACCCCAGCCCGGGGCAGACCAGACACTCAACGGGCTGACTGCAGTGAGCATTTGCTCACAGGTTTAAGGGCACCCAAAAGAAGCCCTTTTGTGGTTTTTCCAGTTTTACTTAAGGATAAAAAAGGACATTAAACATGGAATGTGAGCGTGTAAAAGAGGAGGGGAATGACTAAGTAAAGTGGCCTCAAAACTTTTTTGATAAAATATTAAATACTGGTTGGGCTAAATCATTTATCTTTTTCTATAGTAAGAAAATATCAGTTCTAATCATTTTCTTCCCTTCCCCCTAGGGTTGTCCTGCATGCTCATGACAGTACGTGGAATACTGTATGCTGGAATCTCACCTGCCTGAAACAAAAGGGTGCTCCTGTGGCTGAGCAGGTCTTGCTTGCTGCATGGGCATGGCTGGCTTGGTTAGGCCCAGCATATCCTAAAAAAAAAAAAAAGACTTACTTCCTATGACACTTAAAGTGAACTAATTACTTTTTTTTAAATGTCAGGCCAGGCAAGGTGGATCATGCCTGTAATTCCAACAAGGCCAGGCACGGTGGCTCATGATGGTCATCCCAGCACCTTGGGAGGCAGAGGCAAGAGGAGTATCTGAGTACAGGCATTCGAGACCAGCCTGGACAACTTGGCAAGACCTCGTCTCTACAATAAACCAAAGAATTAGCCAGGCATGGTGGCGCGTGCAGCTACTTGGGAGGCTGAGGCAGCAGGTTCAGCTGAGCCCAGCAGGTTAAAGCTGCAATGGCCATGAGCTACTGTACTCTAGCCTGGGTAACAGAGTGAGACAGACTCAAAAAAACAAAACAAAACAAAACAAAACCCAACACTTTGGGAGGCCAAGGTAGAAGGATTGCTTGAGCCTAGGCGTTCAATATCAGCCTGAACAAAATGAAAAGACCTCTTAACAAAAAAACAAACAAAAAAAATTAGTCAGGCATGGTGGCATCCACCTGTAGTCCTAGCTACTTGGGATGCTGAAGCAGGAGGATCACTTGAGCCCAGGAGTTTGAGGCTGTGGTGAGCTGTGATCATGCCACTGCACTGTATCCTGAGCAACAGAATAAGTCTCTCACTCAAAAATAAATAAAATAAAATGTCCCTGCTTCTGCTCCTGTACAAGCACGGTACAAACCTGTATTTGCTTTGCAGTTAAATCCTTGGTCCCTCGGAAGACATAACTTTTGGAGATTCCTTCACAGCTTAGTTCGTGAACCTGCACCATCCTCCCAAATGTGATCAGACCCACCAGAGCATCTGGAGGAAGGAGACTCAGGGACATCTGCAGGGACTCTTTGAGTGCTTGAAGGTCATCTTCCTCCAGACATGTGTCAACCACATAGAGAAAGATCAGAGGGGTCTGGGCACCTCGCTTTAACCAAAGAAAAACAGCATAGCGATCAGTATACAAATAAAACCAGCTCTTCTTAAAGCAAATCAGGTATGAAAATCTCAAGTCTTCATCTGTGTTAACTCTCAGGAATAAGGATACCCACAAAACCCACCTACTTTAATGAATGACTTAGATTCTATTAAAACAAACTAGATGTAAAGACTACTTATACCCAACAACTTATTCAACATTTTTATATACTACTACATGCCAGCCATTATTTCAGGTCCTAGGACACACAGTGAACAGAAAGAACAATGACCCCTGCCTGCCTCAAGGAATGGAGACGCTAAGGGGACTGCGAACATCAGGAGTGGAGGTAAAGGGCAGGGTCAAGTGCTAGACAAAGACATTAGGGCAGGCTCACTAGGACAGTAACATTAGGGCAGGCTCACTAGGACAGTAACATTTGAGCAAAAACCTGAAAAAAGAAAGGGAACAGAGCAATATAGATACACAGGAAAGAGAGTTCCAGCCTGAGGAAAAAGTTAAAGCAAGGGCCCTCAGTCAGGAGTGTTCCAGACAAGCTTGAGGAGAGTCCAGGAGGCCCACGCTGGGCTGAACGAGGACATTAGTAGAAACTGAGGTTGGAGTGGTAGCACACAGGGCTCTGAAGACTGTTTTCTACCATGGGTGAAATGAAAGCCGTCTTTAGCACTAGAGGTTTCTGAGCAAAGAAGTAACATGACAGATGTTTTTAAAGAGTTACTTTGACTGCTGGGTTAAGAATTAAACACAAGTGAGCAACAACAAAATCAGAGAAAGCAGTTAGGAGACTGCCAAAGTAATTCAAGTGAGGGGTGGTAACTGGTCCAGGACAGTCAGCAGTGGGGAAAGAGAAGTGATAGATTCTGGACAAATTCTGAATCTAGAGACAATGGGATCTTCTGGTGGATTAGATATGGAATGAAAGAGAGAGGTCAAAGACGAGTTAAGGTTTTCAAGCTGAACAAGAAGAAGATGGAATATCATCAACTGAGATGGAGAAGGATAGAGGATTGGTTTTGAATTTCATCAGTTTCACCTTTTTTGTAACCTTCTATCAAGACCTGAAAAACAATGCCAATAGATGCACACACCCCAAAATCTAATAGTTAGGATCCTGCTGCCCTCATGGCTTTAAGTCACCTGGCCAGGTAAGAGACACAGAAGACAAAAAATTTAAGAGAAATTCAATATTTAACATTGCTCATTAAATGCACAACAAAGAAGTTACCTGTACCACGTACTCAATCGTAGAAAACTGGGGCATCAATTCAGCAGGCTGATGCACCTCAGATATGCCAGTGTAAGCTGGAGGAAACTGCAAAGAAGAAAGCAATGTTTCAAGAGCTGACAGATATTTACGTTACACTTTTTATTTTCCATTTATAAGAATGGTAATGAACACAAATTAATTCTGAAGGCACAAAATATAGAACATGATGCAAAAGTACAAAACTCAACACTTAAAACTTCTATTGGCCGAGCGTGGTGGCTCATGCCTGTAATCCCAGCACAGCACTCTGGGAGGCTGAGGCAAGAAGACTGCTTGAGCCCAGGAGTCTGAGATCAGCCCAGGCAACACAGCAATACTTTGTCTCTAAAACAAACAAACAAACAAACAAAAGCTAGGTGTGGTGCCACACGCCTGTAGTACCAGCTACTCAGGAGGCTGAAGCAGGAGGATCGCCTGAGCCCGGGAGGTTGAGGCTGCAGTGAGCCATGATGGTGGCACTACACTCCAGCCTAGGCAACAGAATGAGACTGACTCAAAAATAAACAAACAGAAAAACAAAACTTTTTAGAGCAGTTTTATGTTATTGCTATAACTTCTAAATGTTTAACACTGGGTTTTTTTGAGTTGTAGTCTCACTCTGTCGCCTAGCCTGGCATGCTCCCAGACACCGCAGCCTCCACCTGCTTGGCTCCGGCAATCCTTCCACCTCAGCCTTCCAAGTAGCTGGAACTATAGGCACATGCTACCACGCCCAGCTAATTTTGATTTATTATAGAGACAAGGTCTCACCAAGTTGCCCAGGTGGGTCTTGAACCCACAGGCTCAGGCAATCCACTTGCCTTGGTCTCCCAAAGTGCTGGGGTTACAGGCTGAGCCACCAAGCCCGGCCTGTTTAAAACTATTAAAAACCACTTTTTAAAGCTTTGTACTGCACATTTAAAGTTGAGATTTCATCTATCTCATCAACAGCATATGTAAAAGGTCAACGCCTTTATTTAGGTTTATTATTTTAGCTGTTATCAAAGAAGTAATACACAGCTAATATTTACCCACTTTCGTGTACAATTTAATAATTTTTAGTAAACATACAGTCGTGCAATCATCACAATTCAGTTTTACAGGCACAGTTACTTTTCAAATTGGCAAGCAAAAAAATTGACAAGTTCAGGAAAATAGAAAACAAAATAGGAGAAGGGAAAAAAACACCCCAAACCTATCACCTAGAGGCAGCTATTGTCAACACTTTGGCATATTTCCTTTTAGACTTTTTCTACTAAAGCAGAGTTGAGATCATCTGTATATACAATTTTGGACCCTACTTTTTAACACTTAAAACATAATGGCATAGGCATTTTCCTTTGTTTTGTTTGCTTCTTTCTTTCCATTTTCCTTTGTTTTTAAAATTCTCTGCAAATATTTTAAATTCCTAGCTTGTGGGATGATTTTTAATCCTAATAGTCTTTAGCTTTACATTGAAAATAAAAGTTTAGGTGCTTCTCTCCAAGCTTAGCAAGTGATCATTCCAGGCCAATGACCTGAGTGACCGAATGCAAATGCTGCTGAGGAGCTGACAGGCAGCTAGCAGGGGCCACTGGCCAGGAAGCAGGAGAGCGGGGTATGACTGGGCAGCAGAACCCCAGCAGGAGACTCAGCAGGAGTCAGCAAGAGAACCCATGCCCCACCCTGGCCACAACTGCCCACTGGCTGCAGCTCCCACCAGGGTGAAGCTCTATCCACAACAAAAAAAAGTATGAAGAACAAAGGCAAGTGAGCCAGACACATGGCCACTTCCCAGCAGCCTGGAAAGGCCCTGTCACCACCCAGTCAGCTGGCTGCACAGAAGAGAAAACGGAGACCTAGATTATCCTGATTTCTCCAGAATCCTCCATCTTCTAGCTCTACACTCATTTAGGGGTTCATTTCCCATGGTCCAGATGAAAGGGTCACAAAAGATTATTTCTGCCTATGACACACAGACTTCCAGATCAAACTTATAAACTGGCAGGTGAGGATCTCAAATTAACATAATAATATCAAATACTTATATGGCACTTACTATGTGTCAAGCACCGTTCTAAATCCTTTATACTCATTAACTCAATTTAAGTCTCACAAAAATTCCATAAAGTACAGTGTTAATATTCTATTTTTAAAGACAAGGAAATTGAGGCACGGAAGGTTAAGTGACTTGCCCAAAGTTACACAGGAAGTACATGGTAGATCTGAGAGTCAAACCCAAGCAGTGTGGCTATAGAGACCTGGCACTTCACTACCAAGATTACCCCCCTCAGAATTTTCTTGGTGAGTTATATTAAACAGAAACATCAATTCTGAATGTAATAGGGAGCAGAAATGCTTTTAAGATTTGCTACATCTGAATCTCTCATGGAGATAAATCATAAATGGAATCTGCTAAGTTTCTGAACCTATAGTCAATCATCAATTGTACATTGTTCTCTTCATCTAAGACTTATGTGCCATAAATGAGAATGAGATTAATTGTAATTATGATCAAATATATTAATAAATAAATGCATATAAGAGCTTAAGATCTGTTAGAACAATGTACACTATGTTGGGAATAATTAAATATTTTCTAACAACTTTGCTGAAGTATAGTTTACAGACCACAAAATGTACTCATTTTAGTGTACAATTAAATGATTTTTTTAGTAAACGTACAGTTGTGCAATAACCATCACAGTCCAGTTTAACTGTGCCATTGTAGACATAGTTATTTTCAAAGAGAAGTCTCTCCCATCATTTGTGAGCCTCTCCTAGTTTGGCATTTAAATTTTTTTTTTTTTTTTTTTTGAGTTGGAGTCTCACTCTGTCACCCAGACTGGAGTGCAGTGGCCGCTCCCGGCCACCTCAGCCTTGACCTGTTGGGCTCCAGTGATCTTTCCGCCTCAGCCTTTCAAGTAGCTGGAACTACAGGCGTGCGCTACCACACCCGGCTAATTTTTTGATTTATTGTAGAGATGAGGTCTTGCCAAGTTGCCCAGGTGGGTCTCGAACCTGCGGGCTCAAGCAATACACTCACCTCAGCCTCCCAAAGTGCGGGATTACAGGCTGAGCCACCGAGCCTGGCTTAAAAAATTTTAAATCATGACCTCATCATGAAGGGTAGAAGCAAAAAAAAAAAAAAAAAAAGAAATAAAAAAATTTTTTTAATCAAAAGAAACTCAACACTGACACTTGAATCCTAAAAGTTAGAAAGGTCAGGAAATGAAAATTCCATGATGTTCACTATCCAATTAGAACACACCGAAGTCAAGAGAAACATGAAGAACAGAGGTTTTCTTAGGGTAACAGACTCAAAACCTAAATAACTTATAAGAAAAGAGAATTCTATGTTCCCTCACAGCAAATGACAAGAACCCAAACAATGAAACTGTTCAACAGAAAATCACAAATGTCCAATATTGTGCTTAAAAGCTATCACCTTGAGTTCAGCAGAAACTGTTGATTGCCAGCACAGACACAAATTCAAACCTCACTTAATTTTTTTCATTGTACAACTAAAATGAAACATACAACATATTTGAAAAACAATTCACCCACCTGATTTCTTTGGAAACAGAAATTACAGGCCCAAAGTTTTGCTCGATAATCAACCTGACTGTGAGAAAGATAAATATTATAACTAAATACCATTTTTATTTCTAAGATAGCATTCATATGTAAATTTCAAGTTCAGTAACTCACATACATAAATTTGTATCTTATTTATAGTTTCTATGTGTGTACATAAGTAGATAAATGCAAAAGGTTCACTGCAGTTAGAATTCTAGCTAATAAGTATACCAAAAGTATCCTTTCAATGGCTATAGTGAAGAATTAGTAAATCCTTTTTCTCTTTAGCAATTTCCTGGATAATATCATGACTTATATAAATTATAGATTTCTTTTTGCCTGTTATCTTAACATCATTTTCATGATATTTTTTCCAACATCTTTATTGTCCAGCTATGTGAAACTAAATTCCAATACTAAAAGCACATTTCACACACAGGAAAACTTTCCTAGACCTCAACATCACTTGGCCCACTTAAGAAAAGTTGTGCAGACATGCTCCCGGGTTGATCCACTTCCTAGACCTAGGTCAAGATATGCTTCAGTTGCTTCCTTCTCCACCTCTTCATTTTGAAAAGCAATGCCAAAAAAAAAAAGAAAGAAAAGCCATACCCAGTGGACACATTTTAAAAGCATAACAGCAGCACTCTTATATATGGGCACATTAAATAAAAGCAAGGGAACTGAAGTAAGAAATGTTCACTCATACTAAAATTTTATGACACTCTCCGCCTATTTAAAAATGACTTCAAATAGTGCCCATATATACAAATATCCCGTCTCAGGTACAAAAAAAATACACTTAACATTGAAATTGTTAAGAGTTAACATTTCTTCTGCCCACTAATTCTTCCTGCATATAGCATCACCATACCAGGTAAGCATCAGAAAGTAATCTCAAGCTTTTAAATTTTTTGGAAAATACTTTTTTATTTATTTATTTATTTTGAGTCGAGGTCTCACTCTGTCACCCAGTTTGGAGTGTTGCGGCACAATCACGGCTCACCGCAGCCTTGTCCTACTGGGCACAGGTGATCGTTCCACCTTAGCCTCCTGAATAGCTGGGACTACAGACATGTACCTCCACAACTGGCTAATTTTTTTGATGTTTTTGTAGTGACAATGCCTTGCTATGTTGCCCAAGCTGGTCTTGAACTCCTGGGCTCAAGCAATCCTCCTCATCCCAAAGTGGTGGGAATATAGGTGTGAGCCATCACACCCAGTGAATTTTTTGGAAAATACTTTAAAAGGCACCAGTAAGTCTACAGTTAAGCCAAAAGTGAACTGATTATCAGCAACAACAACAAAAAAAATCCTGTGAAATCCAAATTCTCTCCCTCTCCCTTCTTCCCACAAGACTTCAATTTAACCTAGATATTGGGCCAGGGGGATTTCTACAAGTAACCTAAGAATCTCACCATCTACTATTCATCTCAAATTTGACAATCTGCCTAAATCAAATGACTTTCATATGAATCTTTTAAAGTAATAATGTATTGTATTCATCCTTTTTTAAAAACCGGGTCAAATATTATAACTAAGTACCATTTTTATTTCTAAGGTAGAAAGCGTTCATATGTAAACTTCAGTTTTTAAAAGAAACCATACCAAAGTGGATTAAGAACAGCTTTGCAAGTTGGCCTGCTGCAAAGCACAGGCTCATACTGAACAGGAGGTAGGTCTAGACGTTCCTTCAAAGGCGTAAGGAGACAGGCTAGGGGAACAACCATTCGCGTTGCCTCGAGACGGCTGGAAGGCCACACGTTCCAACTGAAACGCACACCATCCCGTTCCTCATTCTGCTGAATGAACTCCAGGTATGTTGCCATAGTCTAAAAGGGAACTGAAGATAAAACTTTAATGGTATGAGAAAGTAAATGTCAAAAAAAGAAGATAGTTATCTAACACAGTGTTTCTGAAACACTTAGTCTAGAAGATCCTGCTGTTGTGAAATGACAGTATCTCCCTTATGTCTGATGCCCAGAAGTCTATTCACTTCCCAGTTATTTTTTACTATGGTTCCTTTCTTAAGTCTCTTCTCTAAAACTTATAGCATAGATAGAAGAGGTGGGGGTTTACAATCATTTGATCATCCCCAAGCTGCAAGTAGTTGACTACCTTTAAGCCTTCTCACAGATCACACATCATCTCAGTCAAGCCCATTTCAATCCCTTGCTCAAAGGTAAGCCTCAAATCCCATTTCAGCATCCAACTACCATCCTCTCTGATCCTCTTCCTTCCTTCCTTTATATTAAATTTTACAAGCCAAATGGCCTTGTTCTGTGTGTCCTTGCCCTCTCTTCACTTTATTAAACCTGAAGAAAAAAACTGGATACAGATCTGCAAGCCCAGTTCATAATGGGAAACCAGTTCTGAACTAAAGTATTTCTATTTGGTATTTATCACCACAATTAGAAGGGAATATTTGCTATTATACTGAGCAACACTAGAACCTCTTTCCTCACTATGGTTGCTTACCATCATGCCTTGGGAGACTCTGGTCACTCAAACAATCCTTCACACTAAGCTTTCAAAACCAAATGATCCCAGCTTCACTGAGTATTCTACACATCCTGTTCACATTCTAAAATCTAGGGTAACATACACCTCAGCTACTGGAGCTCAGGGGGACAAGTCCCTCAAGAAAAGTAGAAAAAAGGCACATTAAAGAGTCTATCATAATAAAATGACCTCTAGGGCCCACTTTCTGCAGTGCTGGATAATAAATGTCTCTATGTTATCTTCAGAAGTGCCACACTGTAAATAATTTGGATTGATGCAATTACATTACGTGGCTAGAACAGCAAATGAATTACTCTACTACACAGAACCCAGACCACAAAAATTCCAAATGTTTCCTCCAACTGAAACTCGAAGACATCTATCTGCTATTTCTGGCAGAGGCACTGTGTACCCAGCAGGCACTTCTGCAGCTTCCTGGTGGGCAAAGGAATAATTCAGGTGGGAATGGAAGCAAGGTCCTTTTTCGGGGTTTTTTTTTTTTTGAGTCAGGGTCTCACTCTGTCACTCAGGCTAGAGTGCAGTGGCACAATCACAACAATCATGGCTTTTCGCAGCCTCGACCTCCTGGACTCAGCTGATCATTCCACCTCAGCCCCCAGAATAGCTGGAATTACAGGTGTGAACCACCATGCCCAGCTAATATTTTTATTTTTTATAAAGACGAGATCTCATTATATTGCCCAAGCTGCTCTCAAACTCCTCAGCTCAAGCAATCCTCCCGCCTCAGCCTCTCAAAGTGCTGGGATTACAGGCTTGAGACACCACATCCGGCCTGGAAGCAACTTCTAATACCACAGTTCTCTGCAAGTACCTCAGCAGGCTTCATTGAGTAACTGTTCGCCTCTCATAAAACATCTTTATTAAAAGGCACTGTCTCTATATAATATCCCCCAATATTAAATTCTGCTCCCTCCCAGGACTTTGGGAGGCAAGAGGATTGCCTGAGCTCAGGGTTTGATACCAGCCTGGGCTCTTGGTGACACTTCGTCTCTACACTAAATCAAAAAAACTACTCAGGCAAGGTGGCACACACCTAAGGCAAAGGCAGAAGGACCACCTGAGCCCAGAAGGTCAAGGTTGCAGTGACTGTGACCATGCCACTGCACTCCAGCCTGGACAACGGAGTGAGATTTCAACGCAAAAAAAAAAAAATAGATAAAAATAAAATAAAACCTGCTTCCTCCTTTTCCCCTCACTTGTCTATGAGTGCAATTTTTTTTTTTTTTTAAGTTGGAGTCTCACTCTGTCGCCCCGACTGGAGTGCAGTGGCCACTCCCGGCCACCGCAG